ACTTCATAATTCTCATAATTCTGACCCTTTGCTTTTTTATTAACAGCATTTACTTGTACTTTTACTTTCAATACTTAAGTACATTTAATATCAGAAAATTACTTTTGATACTTAAGTACAATAAATATCAGATACTTTAAGACTTTTACTCAAGTAGTATTCTAATAGGTGACTTTCACTTTTACTGGAGTCATTTTCCAGTAAGGTATCTTTACTTTTACTCAAGTATGGCTTTTGGGTACTTTATACACCACTGTGTGTGCCACATTGTGTGCAACAGTATTAAATGTGATTTATGTTCTGTGAGCGTGTGACAGACTACATAGAAAGGAGAAAGACTGAGGAGGAAGGGGCAGGAAATAAAAGCACAAAAGAATTAAGGTCCATTTAAAGATACAATGAAACTGCAGCTGCGATGAGTCGTCAATGAGCTTGATTTAGTCCAGACAGTGAACACATTTAATGACGTAAAATGATCTCTTTTTCTCTGAACCTTATTATATAATTTGCATTTTCCTCTCCGAGCTTTTCTCCGTCACTCTCAGGCTGCACGTTGGTTCTGCTGAACTTTCATTTCAACACCATGTAGGTGAAGGCGTACGTTATCACACTCTAAGGAATGTTAACACCACGTTACATCTTTGTGTTCGACACGGCCACGCAGAAACCTGAACAAGGATAATAAAATCCGTTATATGAAAGTCACTGTTAGTTCACACGTACACACACAACCACACAACCTCCTACAGTAAAGAGCAGATTAGAGAGGAAAAGCTGTTGTGCCACCTCCAGTTTAAAGCACCGTGATTCTTCTGCACATCAAAGGCAGCGTGGGCACACATACACACTGTGTATAGTATATTTCCCAAAGGTGCTCAGTTGGTTGGACAGCCACAGCTTATGATTCGTATGATTTCCATACTCACTGAGCCATTCAGTGAGCCCTTGTGACCTGCATGTAGAGATGCACATACTATATGTGTGTATGCTTTAGGGCTGCCCCATGTTATTCCAGATTCAACTTTGTGTTTGAACATAAAGTAAACATATATAGATAAATGCAATATTTCATTTGTAACGATCTGTTCATATTCAAAAGTGCCTTATTCGCTGATGCAAAATAGAGAAAACGATGCCAAACAATTTGGTGAAGTAATGTGAGGAAGCATTTTGGATTTGATTAAAACCGTAGATTACAAACCAATAAGTGGTGAGCCAGTGACTCCATCCACTATTTATACACAGTCTGAGCTTTACACTGACTTTGTCGCTCTATATTAATGTCACCTGATCGTTTTCCTTTCTTCCGTTGAACAGGAGTCTTTAGAACGAGAACATGAATATGATATTGCTTTGGAGAACTTGATTAAACCACTAATTCAATCGTCTTGTATCATTAGCTTGTTGTGTAAGTGTGTCGGGTAGTTAATGACTGTGTGGGCCGTGTTCAAATTCAAATCAGCTCAAACTTGATCACGACAAAAAAAACAATTGTTCTAGATGTTATAAAATATTAAAGACCAGCCTGATCTCTCACACTTACTGGTATGAAAGGATGCAGCAATGAAGCAGTATTGGTAAAGCAAAGGTCGAGGGGAGAACCACACGCGTGTGATTAGTTGATTAATCGAGTTCTCTTCATTCTTCTTCTAATCTTTTATCCTGCTGCTGGCTGTTGTTTCTTCCTCTCTCCCTCCTCCTACTCCTCTCTACTTTTAACCTCCCTCCCTTTCCTTCCACCTCATATCCTTCTTTCCTTCTCCTTCTCCATCATTTTGCCTTCGTGCCTTTCTTCTCTCCATCTACTTCATTTTCCTCCTCGTCCTCTTTCTATTTCTACTTCCTCTCCTTCTTCTTTCCCCTTCCCTTCTGCTCCCCTTTTCTCTCCTTTTCCTCCCTGGTATTGTTTCTTTTTGTATTCGCCTCGTCTTCTATCCTCTCTTCCTCCTCTTACGGGGCTGTTTCTAGGTCATGGAGCTTTATATGAATAATAAACAGCTGTCTGCTTTAAAGAGAATTATTTATAGAGCATCGAGTGAGTGAGTGAGTGAGATTCACATCTTTCTCTCTCTCAGTCTTAAACGCTTGCTCTTTTTCTTTCTCATCCATCCTTTTTCACCCTGTTGTCTTTATTGTCTGTCATCTTTTTATTTCCCGACTGATGCTTTCTTTGTTTCTCGTCTATCATTCGCCCTTCACCCTTTCCTTTCCTTTCCTTTCCTGCCTCCAACAATTTGCTTCTCTACTGGTTTGTTGTGAAGCTGCTACTACTGCAACTGTGACTACAGTAGTAGTAGTAGTAGTAGTAGTAGTAGTAGTTGTACTAGGCACGGTCAACATCGTAGTCCTAGGTATATTTTTTCTTATTGTGACCCTCAAAGCCCAGAATCCTTTGGCGAAAGATGCATTTTAGATTATTTAGTAACGTGACATGTCGCAATCTCTATAGAGGGGGGGGTCGGAAGCAGAGAGTGACTCGGCAGAAACAGACAGGATTTAGAGGGAGGTGAGGTCAGCAGAAAGTCAGACGGTGGCCAGACTAAAGCTTCAGGCTGAAATAGCATGAGGTCATCTGGACCGGTAATACCCGCCATACACTGGCACATGGACGTGCAGCGGCGGGGGGAAAAAAACCCTTTCCATATTTAACAAGCAGCATCAAGTTAAATCCTCCCTCAAAGTTTACAAACTATGTATTATTTTTAAAAAAGCACAAAGCTTACAATGCTATAGTTTAAACTATTTTAAGGTCACAGTGTTGCTGTCATATTTGCACTCATGCAGTAAAGGGGAGCTTATTAAGGAAACCTTAAAGTCTTGTGCTAGCTGAAGTTTGCAGATATTTAATATGGAATTGTATATTCTCCTGATCTGAGGGTGTCTTGGTGCCTCAGGGGTTCAGGATGCTGACCTGTCTGCTCTTCAGACAGACAGAACTGCTCATTTCTCAGAGTTTTACAACACGTTTGCGTGTTTCACGTTTAAATGTGGCCGTTGTGACTCTACTGTGTGCATCGTGCTGACTTTGCACTCGCTTGCTCCGTTGTAGAGATTTTGGGGAAACGAGAACTCAACATTAATCAGGACAAGATGAAAACACCATGTATCTAATGAGACAACATGATGTAATAACGCATTCTCTAATAATATGCTGCATTTTATAATATATAATATTAAACGCCCTGAGTTTATCTGATGACGACATTATTGTAGAAATATAAACCTAAATGACAAGCAGACAATCTAAACCAACATGAAGTCATTGAGCTTTTGTGCTGATTAAGTTTGATGAAGAGTTTTGTATTCCAGTTTTTTTATATATATATAATCTTTAATAATCGACAGTGCACTGCTCTCCAGTTTATAATCTCCTGTTTCAACCCTAATAGATGAAAGGGTAATTTCTCTAACCTCAATCCCTGCATGCATTTAATACGTTGGTTTTCAGTTTCCATACCTTCTCCTGATTTGATGGTGAGTCAGTCTGCATTAGAGTGAAAACCGTGAATACCTTTTTATTCATCCGGATCCAATATTTAATAGCTGGAAGCTAATCCTCTTTAACTCCACCTGACCCACCAGATGGTCCATCACTTAAACACATACTGTGTCAAATTACTGTGTCAAACCCACAGTAATGTATCTGATACTTACAGTGGTGGAAAATACATTTATTTAATTTTTTACTGTACTTGAGTGCAATTTGAGGAACTATTTTGCTGTTTTACAATCCACATTTCAGAGGGAAATATTTAACTTTTTACTACGATACATTTATACGACAACTGGAGCTTTTTTTCAGATGTATAAGGAATTACGCATTGCAATTAGCCTCATGCATGTTTAACCACCTTAATGCATCTGTAATAATGATCCTGTAATACAACTACACAATGAGTTATTTTACTTTTTATACTTTAACTGCACCTTTATTTGTAATGGAGTTTATGGTGTGGTATTGCTTAATAAAGTAAATAATCTGAATATTTCTTGAATCGAAGATGTGTGTGTATAAAATGATGCACAGGACTCAGCCTTTTATAGTTAAGATGAAAGTTTAACCAAGTCTGACAGTATGGAGCTAAATCTGAGATGTCCCTAAAATGGCCACCAACACAGATGATAAACCAGTTTGATTCTGGTAACAACCCTCAGGTCAAACTTCTCATTTTTAACCCACTAGTGGCGAAGATAACAATCCTCAGACAGCTTCACAAGACGTACGGTAGGTAGTATGGTTACAGGCTTGTGTTGTCGGAATAAATTAATTCTGACCTGCAGGTTAATAGATTTGAAAACAGGGTCATGAGAAGAGGTCAAACAGTTTTAATCTGGAGCTGTCGGCTAAACTGTAATCTCTGCCGCCTTCGTTTAACCTCAGCCAAAGAGGTCAGAGGGGTACGAGTGTGTGAATACATGAGGGTGTGTGTGGGAATGCATATAATTGATTTTAGATAACGCACGAGCATCTGTTATGCTGGGAAAAAAAGACATTGGTGGAGAGGGCAACAAAGGTGATTTAGTCTTGTTCTCTTATATTTCTGCACACAAAAGTTAGACATATTGTGATAATATTTTGTGCAGATATTTGTGGTTCCTAAAGGATGAATCCTACTGACTTTGGTTTTTCCTTTAACGCCACCATCAGGTCAAAATGTAAATGTCACCAATGTGATCAAATACCTGCAAATCTTATGACATTCCCATCAGCCTCAGCTGTGCTTTGTGCTAAGTGTTTATTAGCTGATGTTAGCATGCTAACACGCCGCTATGGCTGTCGACTCCGAGTCTTGCTGCTGGAAACGTCTCTCAAATGATTTAATTGTTTGGCTAATTGTTTCATGCCTATTTAAAGTACAGAATCTGGAACATGTTTTGCCATTAAGTCTAAAGTCATCAGATTTCTGACTTGAGTCCAGGCCGCGAACACAAGCCACGTGGTACTGTAACATTGATAAAGGTGAAACGTTGTCTTCTTTCTCTCCCTCTCTTTCTAACAGGGCCTTGTACACATATGAGGATGACAGCAATGATTTGAAACTGGCATCATCAGGCGGTAAGTCTGTCTTTTTTTGTCAGCAAATCCAGTACATGAATTTAATCTCCCCCACATGTGACATCTTGCTGTTCTCGTTCTTTTTATGTCATAACGAACATGGCTGTATCAGCATGTTAACATCATGTGTGGAGATGGTTGGAATTTGCTGCTGCCCACCATCTTTGATGAGCTCAGCAGGTTCTGATGTTGCTTGGGGGGGGGGGCGAATTATCATGTTCTTTGTCTCCTGATTGTTTCTGAGCTGGATTCATTATTACCACAGTTAATGACGCGCTGCACGATCATTACAGCTTAATGAGTCTCCTCCGTATTTCATGCACACACATGCAGTATGAAAGGGTCTTCCTCCTGCCTCCCTTTAATGACATCATTGCACCATGGTAGGTGTGAATCTGCAAATAAACATATGGACATAACCCTTATACACTTTAAGGATTGTAGATTTCTCTCCATTTCACCCAAATTTGATTGTGTTTATCATGTGTGCAAAACATAATTTGTATACCTAATGTAGTAACTCAGACTCTCATGATGATCATTTCTCTTTATGTTACAAAGATGGCTTTAGTCTGAGTGTTAATTTCTACCCTGGAGCACACACAGTGGAAGGAAATCTAATAAAGAAGCAGTTAGAGTGTAAAAATGTAAGTAATGTATTTCAAAAGACAATAAACTGATAAATATAACCGATGGAGGGATGTGTAATTAGATACATTCACAATAAAGTTCATGATTTATGCACAAACTGGAACCTAATAGGTAATAAACAACATCGTAGCATTTTAATCTGCCTTTGGGAAGAACATGGTGAAGGACCTGCTGGCTTCCTGCACCTGTATTTGTCCTCATGTGAGTAGTCCTCTTTTAGTGATCTCCTTAAACAGGGTTCCCATGGCTCCTTAAAAAACTGAAAAACAGTTGACCAATATTCCAGTCATGGAAAAAAGTCAAATATTCTTGAAAATCAATCAAAATGATCCTAATCTCCTATTTTCCGATGAACTACTAATCTTTCTATCAGAGCTCCCAAAACTGATCACATTGCCATCTGGAAGACCAAGTTATGTGCCGGATCATATTATCGTTCAAAAGATAGTTTACGAATGAGAGTATTTTAAATGTTGTGATGTGAAAAGCTGCATCCCAAATCACGTCACATGGTAGCACAGGCAGGTTACACCTGAAAGAAACTGTACATTTAAATATTAGTCATGATTTGAAGTTATCGTGCACGTCTTTTAAATGAGCCCCATCCCCGTCTGTCACAGCAGCTCGATCATCACTAAAAGAGTCCTGAAAATGATCTCTAGCAAAGAGCTGGAACCCTGTTAATGTTTCCCGGATAACTGAACCACATTGTAGGTTTCTGTTGGCATAAACATCCTTTGAATCACGCATTAGCCTTAGCTGCTGTTGCTATGGAGAAAAAGCCAGTCAGAGGCACAAATTCAATTATTGCATCTAAAAACAAAACATGAGTCAATCCAAAAAGCACCAAGAATCTGAAAGTGAGTGAAATTGTTAAATATTTGATTAGGTTTATAAGTCAGAAAGTGCTGCGAGACAAACTAACACATTGTTAGTTTTGGCTTCAGAAATGTGTTGTTGAAGACGCGTCCCGTGGTTTTACTTTGATGTATGTCTTATTCTGTGAGTCTAATGCAATCATCTGCACATAATTCCTGAATATAAATGTGCTGATCACATGAGAGGAGTGAACTACAGAGAAGCGTCTGCATCACTAATGTTGGAGTGCCGCATTGATGAAGAGCCACTTCTGCCGACAGCGGTCTTCCTTCATGTCGGCAGCTTCTCTTCAGAGAGAGAGAGACGTGAATATTTCAGCAGCCGCGGAGAGGAAACGCAGTTTGTTCATCCGCACTGTAAACCTCGGAGGGATCCATCTGCCTCCTCGCATCTCCAGCGGAGCACAGTCATGTTTGTGTGTTTGTATGCGAGATGTTTACAAATGTGTGCGTAGACGTCTCTGAAAGCTACGCTGAGATGCAGAAAGCAGGATCATGATCTGAGGCATAAAACCAGCAGCCTGGAACACAACACCACTGATCCTTTCTTTAAGTAAAAGATCATTTACTTAATTCACTCCTTTGCAATTAACAATCATGCATTCAAAACACTACTTAGAGGTGCATAATTCAAAACTCTGAACATTAATATAGAAGCAAGCAACACTTTACTATGTAAAGAAATAGTGGTGCATCTGTAGCTTCCTGGCAGAGTTGCATTATAAGATCTCTGATTGCTTTATTTCACGAGCTGATTCATTTGTTAATATTCTCCCAGTTTGTGTATTTCGACAACATGCTCCTTCCTGCTAGAGGAAGGTGTAACAGAAGCATGACTGGTGGAGTAATGCAGCCTCTTGTTCTGTGAGTGCAGGAGGAGGTCTGGCAGAGATCACACTGACCTTTGACAGTGCCAGGGTGATGTACGGCTTCTGCAGCCTGAAGGAGCCCGCCGCCACTCTGCCACGATACATCCTCATCAACTGGGTGAGTCGCCGGGTCAGGGGACTCCAGGCAACACACACACAACGAAATGTCCTCAAAGGAATTAAAGGAGGATATTGGAGTCATTAAGGGTCACAGCACATTTTTAATGTAACTGTTTGTTTAACAAGGACACGCCGTGTCACCGACGGGAACAACCTGAATCCAGGTTCTGTCTGTTCTGCTGCTGAGGCTGCAGCTCTGTGATTGGATGATATTACGTTTCTCACATGCAGTTGCTGCTGCAGCTGAGAGCTGCAGACGTGAAGTACAGTGTTCACTTTATTAGGCATTGGAATAAATCCTCTTGTTCTGCTGTTGAGTCTACTTTTATGATGCTTTTTGTGCTGTTGCTGTTGATGCTTTAAACACTGTGATTGAGGTTTTAATTCAATTATTTGCTCTAGCATTGAGGTCTTGTTGTACCCCTCACAATGAAGAAAAACCATCAACACAAAAAACTGAACATTATGAACTTTGTTACGGTATTATTTATGACGGAACTTTACTTAATTGCATCAGATTGCAAAGGTGTACCTAATAAAGTGGCCACTTAGTGTAAGATGCTGATGTCGCCACAAACAAGCAAAGAGAATAACAGCTCCTCCGATGTAAACACTGGCTCCACTTGCAGGCCATGATGGTTACAACATCTTTATTTTATTTGTTTTACTTTCTGTTTTGATGAGTTTTTCTGGTTTTACATGAAACACATACAACATCATTTGTATGTCCATTCTTTTAAAAAGGATCCCTCACCTGTTGCTACTTCTGACGTTTATGACATTTTTACTTTTAAAGTTTTTTTGATCTGAATTTTGCGTCTCAGGACGGAGGGCGTCATTTTGTACCGACTAAAGAAGCCCTGTGTAGTTTTTAAAGTATTTGTTTACTTGTAGTATAGATATAGAAACCAAATGCTTACTTCAACAGTGGGATTATTAATGAATATATTGCTGCTCGCTGTGTTTAAAGGGAATTTTGAAGTCAGTTTTAATATATCATATTGATATTTTTTATTTTTAAAAAAAGATCTGACACAAATAAGCAGTGTGTTCGCACCAAGACTTCTGATCAGACGACAAAATGTGTTATGTTACATAATTTGGCTCAGGTTTATCAGGTGTTCCTGGCAGTCTCGTGGATTTGTGTTGTGGAGAGCACAGATGTATTATGTGGGGATTTTACTAAGAGAGCAGATGTGGCTGTGATGAACGTTACAGAGACTGAACTTCCAAACGGAGACAAGTCGCCACGCATGTAACAGAGCCGGAGAAGTTTGTCCACCAATGAATTCATGATGTAAAGGAAATGTAACCTGAAAAAATGAATCACTTGTGATGTTGGAGCTCATTTCACCGAACTGAGAGTCTCCAACAGAGTGTGTTAATAGCATTTAAACACTGAGTTTTAGTCTGAGTTCATCCGAGAGCCGCAAGATGAATGTTTTACTGCCTCAACCTGACAACAGCCGGAGCGCCCTGAGCGACTTCATCTGCATAATGAGAGAGCGCTGAGAGAAATAGAGAGAAATGCAGAAAGAGAGCAGAGAGAAGAAGTGGAAAGAGAAGGAGAGAGGTGGAATCATTCAATCTGCTCTCCTAGAAACAAAGTTTATATACGACTAATTTGTTTTGCCAGTTACAGGATTATGTTCAGAAGCAATGATTTTCCAAGTTAAAGTATCCTTTATATCATCTTTATATACAACTTTGCAATAACAATTATATCTTAAAAGAAATGTAATGAAAGGGTTGTTGTTAACGAATTTGGCAAGTCTCATAATTAGCTGATGTTGTTTACTGATTAAATATTTAATTTCCTTTCCTACATTATTGTAATGTCTATAGCCTCATTTGTGCTGGATGTGTTTCTCTAGGGGGAGGTGGGTGTGAATTACCTCTTGTTTTTCAACAATTTCTAATCAGCTCAGTGTGAAATTTTGGCTTTCGTGTGAAAATGGAGGAAGTAGAAAATGTTTTTGATGATTTGATCTGATTGAACAAATGAACACCAACAACATGGATGGGTTTACATTGGAGATGTACGTGTGCGTCTCATGAAGGTCGCCTCATTGCGTCGGTATCCTACACCGAGGGTATTTGACGAGTTGGGAGTGAAAACGGGTCGACCATCCACCTCGACCTCCTCCCGTGACTTGTTGCTGTACAAGAATGAAGCACCGACTTCATGTTGCCTGTGAACATAATACCAGCAGCAATTTCCAGGAGACGGGGTTGAATGAAAAAGAAGTACAGAAAGCGATTGAGAGATCCGCTAATTGCAGTGAATGGAGACGGAAAGGGAAATAAAGAGACAGAGGAGTCCATCATAATGTGACACAGCAACACTAGCCCAAAGCGCACCGGACCAAAGTAAACCGGGCTGAAATGGACCAGATATCAACTCAAATGTATCGAAAATCAACAGAAATACACCATAAAATACATCCAGCATTACCAAAATGTATCACACAGTCTTAAATATACTGCAAAAGCATTCAGGTTATCTCTCTTACTCTCTCTCATTTTCAGTCAGACACACGCAGATGAACACTCTGATAGATAAAGTGGATAAATACTGATATTGAGAGATAAATTGCCACGAGTTTCTCTCTCTCTGTAATTGCAGCTTATTGCGTTTGTATTGTGTTGGTCTGAATGAGCCGTGATTACTGAAAGACATCCGGCCTGTTGTAGTAATATAAGCTGTTACAATAAGCCAACATGACCACGGCTGAACAAAAGGCCCTGATGAGACCAGAACGAGGGGAAAGAAACACGTGATGTTACTGGTGCTGTTGAGCTTTTTCTGCGTCATGCTTTAAGTTCACCATCTCTCCTCCTCCTCCTCTTTCTTCCCCCCCCCCCTTTTCCTCCGTGCTTTCTTCTGTCTCCCGCTCAGGTCGGGGAGGACGTGCCGGATGCCAGGAAGTGTGCCTGTGCCAGCCACGTCGCCACAATCGCAGACTTCTTACAGGTCAGACCCTCCATGGTACTGAAACATTTTCCTAAATGAATTCTCTTGCAACAGTTGTACAAATGATCTTTTATGTGTTTCAACATGTGTTTTATTGAAATAATGGGTTTCAGAGCGCAGAGCTGCCGTTGAGTTTCAGAGTGCTGAAAGAAAGAAAAACTCAAGCAGGGACAAAGAAATGAATGACGTTCACGCAACAGGGGCAAATTATTCACTCCTGAGAATTAAAGTATTTAAGTTAAAAGTGCTGTTGCGTGTACTTATAATTTAGCTATTTTCATTATTTAATAATGACCACAATGCAGGAAGCAAAGTCTCTGAAACTCATTTTTCAGTGAGACGACCCAGAAAGTTGTGACAGGCTTAACCTGTGTGGCTCTTTAATCTTCACCTGTGGTTCAGTCACCTGAACATCTCTAGAAGTCATCGTTTCTGAGGTTTAACTTAAACCTGCAGGTTTAACTGAGGTCATGAAGTTCAGTAGAAAGACAGATTTCTCATTTTATTAAACATCTTAACACGACATGCTCGACTCCCGACAGAGGGTTACTACGATGTATGATCTAATGCAGCCGATCTGCAGTGATACTGCTTGTTTTTTATAATCTGCTTTAGTTCTGTGCCACATACAGAATGTTTGAATGTTCATCTGTTTTCAATCAACTCTCTGGGAAAAGAAGTTACAGCACATGAAACCTGTAGGAGGATCAAGTGTGTGTATGTGTGTGTGTGTGTGTGTGTGTGTGCGCATGTGTGTTACAGTGCATGACTAATACCATCTCTTTTTAGGTAAGCTCTCTGTGCTGAGAGTTCTGAGCTGAATGACAATCCTCTCACCCACTTAGTGTGTGTGTGTGTGTGTGTGTGTGTGTGTGTGTGTGTGTGTGTGTGTTCATGACTGTGTGTGTGTATGTGTGTTAATACCAGCCAGTGTGTGCGTGTGTTCTGTAGTGTCATTATTCTAAGTGGCAGTTCTCGCTCCCACACAGCATTGACTTCATCACACCAACGAGGCTTTCAATGGTCCTTTTAGGGATACACACACACACACTCTCTCACACACACACGCACACACACACACACACACACACACACACACACACACTCTCTCTCACACTCTCTCACACACACACGCACACACACACACACACACACACACACACACACACACACACAGAGTCACAAGTCTTTATTGACACTAGTATACACCACTGTATTGATTTATATTACTGTACAATATACTATACAATACATTCTATCATATTAAATAAATAGAATCAAATCTAGTAAGACTTGCATTGAATAAATTAGAGTTGATTGATCAATGAAATGGCTTTATTCGCACGACTATAATCTGATACAGTGTTGCCAAAGCACCGTATAAATATACATGAATTAGTTTACACATATTGACCACAGAAAAAGTTAAATTGGAAAGAATAAATAAACAAAGCAGAAGTTCACCGTGTGTGATGATTCCCGATGAACAATATTGATTATGACAGACACAAATTGTATTTGTGATCCTCATTTTGACACCTCTTCTTATTACTTTGTCTTCAGGGGGTGGAGGTCACCGTCAACGCCAGCAGTCTGGACGACATCGACCCATCAGCCATCGGGCAGCGGCTGACCAACGGCACGGTGGTGGTGGTGGCGAGTCCGGTTCTGAGCCGCCTGAAAACCCGAGAGGAAGAGCACGCAGACGTGGTACGAAGACAGACGGAGCACAGTTTTGATCGACTAAGATCTGTCTCATCAGTCAGAGTAGTCTGATCATACACTAAGGTTGTGATGAAGAACTAACAGAGCTGGACTTTGTGATTTGTTATTACGTTATACCTCTGTTTATACACCAACCTCTTTATGTCAAATGTTCCCTATATGGGGGTGAACCTGACATATTAAGTGTATTTGAATACTTTGTGATTTGTAGAATGTAACATTAAATGTCGAGAGGAGTTTATAAAGAGTTGACACTGAGCGTGTCACATGTCAGATGGATGGCAGCGTGTCTTTGTAGGGAGCAGTAACAACACCTCTCACATGAACACACAAAGTCAATAACATTCACAAACACACTGTTCCCCTGGCTGTTCGTCTGACTAAAGGAAGTCAACCTTTGTCTGCCTCTCACCCCCGATGCAGGGCACAGTGTACGAGAAGACCAATGCAGAGGTGGAGATGAAGAAAATCAATAGGGAGGAGTTTTGGGAGCAGGCCAAGGTAAGTGGGAAGAGAAGAGAAGGAAATGATGGGAGGGAAGGAAAGAAACCTTTTAATCATGCATCATTAGTAAAACAAATAATAAATCAAAGCATGATTCTGATTTAATACAACTTGAGTTGGGTATCCGTTGTAATAACATTGTACTCACCAGCACTTTATGTGGAGGTCAAACTAGAAGTGAGTATGGTCGTAAAGTTGATGAGGAAAACTCTGTGCTTGTGTTTCTATTTTGCTGCCAGATCTCAGCCACTAACTTGTTGTTTTCACAGATATAAACAACAACCAAAAGTAGCGGTTTTTAGGAATCCTTCATTAAGAAACATTTATCAGGAGTTTATCCTCATTAGCTGAGTTTTAAAGTTTCATTTTTGGAAGAAACTTAGACGAGAAGATTGATATCACTCTCAGTCATGAGTGTGTCTGAGTAGTGTTGAATAAATAAAGCTAATGTGAATCCCCGTTGTGTTCGGAGGAGCAGAGTGGAAGTGAAGAATAAAGTCAAACACTGCTGCGTCCTCCAGCTGTGTTGCCTTCAGCGTGCTTCAAACTAAATGTAAAATGACAGCGTGCTTCTTCACAGCATCAGAAACTGCAGATATGAAATAAATGACTCAATTTGTCGACCGACAGACAGCTAATCGACGACACCCTTCTGAATATCTTCCTTTTGCTGTGTTTGCTCTCCAGCGTGAAGAGGAGGTGAGGAAGGAGGAGGAGAAGAAGAAGGTAGCGGAGGAGCGCCAGCGCTTCGACGAGGAGCGAATGGAGCTGGAGAGGAAAGAGCAGGAGAGCCGAGAGCAGAGGTACCGCGAGAGGGAGAGGCAGATCGAGGAGCACAGGTGAGGAACAGTCAGCATCGCGCTCTGAATTCTAGAACATCTATTTCAGGATCAACATCTGCAGAGGAGTCCTCTACAGAACTGGTGCCCCGCGTCATAAAAGCAGCGCTGCGTCTCAAAGACGCAAATGACTGATCTTCATCTCCTCTGGCTAAAAAGACACTTTCCTGATATATATCTTCTCTTTTCTTTTCTTTATGATGCGTATTTTCTTTTTCCACATGCATATATAAATATATACACACAGCAGGTCTAAAAGAGAAATGATGACATAATGACACCTACAGCAGAGGATCTGCATATTCATGAAACTTATAGGAAGAGTCACTGTTGCATTTTAGGTTTGATATGACTTTAAGAGGAACGTCTGCGTCAAGCAGCAGCTAAATCATCGACAGCCGATATCTCCCAAACGAAGCAACTCACACCAAAACAATCTAGTTTGATAAATAGCACTACAGGTAAGAAGAAAGATCTGTATTTTTGATTATGGGTGAACTGTGCCTTTGATTATGCAAAGTTACTTTTCGGGTGTGTAAAGTGTTGCCTAATCTGTGTGTTCATGTGTGTGAGAGTAGGAAGAAGTTGCTGGAGGAGGAAGAGTCCAAAGAGAGGTTGCGGAGCCAGACCACCATAGTAAGTTTCTGTAATCTTAAATCACTCTGCTGCTGGTCATTATCATGAAATCACAAGGTTCGACTTCTACTTGAATCGTCTTACTCCTGGAGACTTGCTTCATCCTGTTACAACTGTTCAGGCTCCTTGTATGCTTGTGTATTTTCTTTCTGTTTCTTTTCCCTCTTCCCACCGAAGCATCACTTTCTTTCTCAAAAGACCGTGAACACTTGAACGCCTCTGGTTTTTGTCACGCAGTGACACAAAAATGAAATGAATTTGTCTGACAGTGGGGTTTGTATTTGAAGGGGGTGATTATATGCTGTGTCTGATTTACCAAAAATGTCAAGTCTGGCAGTGTGTGTGTGTGTGTGTGTGTGTGTGTGTGTGTGTGTGTGTAAGGTTTGTTTTTCTCATCTTGCAATCAGCTGACTGCTGCGATATTTCAGCTAATCTCCTGAACATCTTGATCTCTGTCCTTGTGGCGAGTTCTCACACGCAGAGCGGTTACGTTGCCTTGCTCAAGAGACTTTAGGCATTGTTTGTTACTGATGGGGGGGGGGGGGGGATACCAGCAGCTGGACTGTGTCCAACTGATGCACATGGAACTGTTTGTCCAAAGATTTAGATTCATGAGCAACTTAGCAAAATACTAGTAATACTGACTTAAGAGATGTTTTGATGCTTCTGTATCTGCAAGTCTTTAAAAGCATTGAATGAGGTTTTTACTTTTTGAATTACAGTTTTGCAGCTAGTTCATTTTTTCTTTTTGCATCTTCATTTGTATTCTTCCTCTCTGTAGGCAGCAGAGCCGAGCCTCGACGACCTCAACCTGGATAAGAAGGAGACTGAGGTGGAGGTGAGGGATGTTACTCTTTCATCAGATATTAGACATGTATTAAACCTAGTTGTAGATTTATAGATTTGTTAGATTAGAATGTAATCTATGAACTATTATACTGTAGATTTTATATCACGATAGTTTAAATGTTGAGGATCAAAATGACTATTTTGAATGTATTCCGTTAGTAAACATATTGAACTTTCCATGCTTTATTAAGCTCAATGAATCATTTAAGAATCTGTAGTTATTAGCTTTATTTGCTCAACATAAACTGAACAGGATCCAGAGAGTCTATGTTTATCCGTGTGTTTCCAGGAGGCGAAGGCCATCATCGCTCAGCGGTCAGAAAACCCTCGAGAGTTTTTCAAGCTGAAGGAGAGAGCCATGACCATCAGCGTCGACACCTCACCCGTCTCCATCCACAGGACTGGTAAGCACTTTCAAACTCACCTCACACTTGTCTTCTACGTGGGTCCACTTTATAAACTTTATTTATTTATGTGAACCTGGAACAGCTCTGAACCACAAAGAGCAGTAAAAACAACATACGAACGAGTAGAGAGGACTTATGTAAGTTAACTCTGAAGTCTGAGGCTGTTATCCATTGAGAAGTTTATTCTAATTCATTTTTGTGAAAACATTCTCGTGGAACCTAAAGAAAACAAGCACTACTAACTACGCTGAAGAACAAAACTCACATAAATAAGGAAAGCTGTGCTCGTCTTTCCGTCGATGGTCTTAATCCAGGACAGTAAACAACTGTTGCCTCCAACAAGTACATTTACTCAAGTTCTGTGGTTAAATATTGCACTTGAGTATTTCCATTTGATGGTACTTTATACTTGTACTTCAATATATTTCAGAGGGAAATATATTCATTACTTTCTTTACTATTTTTTCGTTTTTTTGGTTAGAAAACATGGTATTCTTACATTATGAAGCACTAATCTACTCAGTAGTAGGCACTGTTTAATGTGCTCAACATTGACAAAGTGCATTTTAAATGACTTTAAATATTATATTCTAGAATAATATAACACTGTGAAAGGAACTATTCTGCATCATGACTACTTTTCATACATTTTACCGGTAATACTTTGATAGTAATGATAGTAACATTTTCAATCAGGACTTTTATTTGTAATGGAGTATTTGTAGGTTGTGATATTTCTGGATCTGAGTACTTCTTCCACCACTGAGTACAAGTTCCTTACATGTGTACTGGTGGGTGTGGGGGTCCATGGCATCTGAATCATCATGTGTCAAGTTCAACATGTCATTTATCACATTCGACATCTCCTCAGCTGCTGTTTCCTTCGAGCCAGACCTCGAAACTGTCGTTCACAGAGATGCACATTTTCCCCCAAAAAACTTTATGTAGCAGAAAGAGGAAAAAGCTTTAAGTTCACATCTGTAACCGCAGCACGAAGGAGCCGATGCTGTAAAAACCAGCAGACGATCTCTCTCCTGTCACTGTTGGATGGCTGCTGTTGAGCCTTGGGGCAAATTTGGACACCTTACCTTTTGTTTTTATGTAATTTTAATTTGCATTGTTGTATGTTGTTTGTGTGCAGCCTTTGTGTTCTGTCATGACCCGGCTTCAAACACAACCGGAGTCAAAATCTCAGTGGCAAGGATGTAATATCCACCGGGGAACATGTCCTCCTCACTTTTTCTCATATATTTACGGTTTCACAACGACTTTCTCACTAAAATCCCTCCGGTGTGTCTTCTGAGCAGAGAGGAGTTGCTCAAATGATTTCATTCAGTAAGTCCTAACCAGACTTTTTTCTTCATAATGTGTTGATTTTCAACAAGCAAATGATCAGGACATTCATGTCGTCTAAACACCAACAGTTATTCAGTGACTTTCCTTCTCTGGGATTCATTATTGTGAAATCTGCTGCTTCAATGGAGCACAAATGGAAGTTTGACACCTGAGGATGAAACAAAGTGCGTCAGCATTTCATTTCTGCCTAACTGCATGCTTGCTACTGCCAGTTTGTTTAAAGTCACACTAATTACTTTTCTTTCTCTCTCTTCTTTCTTTCTGTTTTTTCATTGCGGGTTTTCTTCATCCACCTCTTCACTCATTTGACCTCACGTTTGTGTTCACCATCTCCATTCCTTCTTTCTCATTTCACTCACTCCTTCATTTATTTATTCACCCACTCCTCCACTCTTTGATTTCTCCGTTTTGTGATATTCATCCTCTGGCACCTTTCTCTTTCTTCTTCATGGGTTTTCACGGGACTCTCTGCCTTTCCCACAATCCTCTCTTCTTCGTCCTTTTTCCTCTGGGGGTGAACTTCTTGTGTCTTGACTCTGAGTTCTTCTGTCTTCCTTCTACTCTCCCTCCCTCTCCTGCTTTTTGTCTGTCTTGTCTCACTGTCTCGTCCGTCTTCCCTCACACCTCTCTGTCCTGGTGCTTCGCTTCGTGTCCCTGTTACATGTTTGTGTGTGTTTGAATCTTCGTGTGTGTGTGTGTGTGTGTGTGTGGCTTTGTGTCGTCTCGACCGCCAGGCCGCTTGGACAGCCCGTTCTTGAAGCAGCAGCACAGTCCCAGCAGCCCCAGTCCGACTCCCCCATCCCGGGGCCTGTCGCCCCTCCGCACCCCGCCACACAAACGGACGCAGCCCGCCGCTGCAGCCGGTAGGTACAGCACATAACCGATAAACAGCAGAAGAAGAAGACAGATGGATCCCTCCCCAATCCCCTTCACAGATATGGAGGCTGAAGCGAAACTGCATTTGAATTAAAAATGTGAGAGCTTATTAAGAAGATGCATTTACATGCACACTAATGTCCAAATGATTAGTCTTCATCTGGCAAGATGATGTCTCTCAGACCAACACGCTTTATCTCATTTTTAAGTCCACATGCATTTTCATGATTTCAGTTGTAGCTCTTCATCTTCGTAGACCCTCCACGTAGCACACACACATCTGCCCACCAGCCCTTAAAACCACCTCCCGCTGAATTTCCCCTCTAGCCCTGCCCTCCGTTCCCCAACACTGACTGAACACTTTCATCCCCAAATAACTTCCTTAGGTTACAGTTTAAAGTAGCTCATTCTCATATTGTCTAGTTATCTATTTTGAAGGATAAGTCGGTTGATATTTTATATTTTTTTTCTTGTCAATAAATCCCATAAAAAGACCCCAAACCAACAACGACTATACCTACAAACACATATTGTGTGTGCCTGATATCTCCTTCCTCTGTGCTATAGAGCTCCAAAACTATTAAACCCAATCAGCCACACTGTTTCACAAGGTGGCATGTTCCTTCATTACCATAAATAATACTCAACATAGCACCAAATGTGGACTAATCCGCTGCTGAAAATAGTCCCTAACCAATGCACTATTTCCTACAAACTACTTAAAAATGTAGTGACCAGCTGTTTTAGTCTGCTCTTTTGAAATTAAACTACTTTAGTGAGTTGTTTTTAAAGATTTGCGTCTTCAGTGGGAACCAATGGGTTGGATTTGAGAGAAACCGACAGGAAGTCAGAAAGTATTGAGAGGCGGACTAATGTTGGTTTTGGTCTTTTCATTGTTAATGACAATAAGACAAATATAAAATAATGCCATGATTTTCCTTTAAGCGCAGATATTTCAACATCTAAAAATTTCACTTTTTGTAAGTACGTTCTATATGTAGCTTATCAAACACAAAAAAACAAATGGAGCAAAATTATCCTTGAAAGGAAAGTCAGAAAAAGCAACTAAAGTTGCTGTTTTTGTTAAAAACCACACACCAAAGACCTACTATTGTAGCATGGATGCTAACAGTGTCTGTACTGTGTTCGGTACAAGCCCTTTTTGAGCATGAAATATTTTTATATGTAATAATAAGCTAATAGGCACACAAGCATTTCACTAACTAGATAATGAAATATCCTACTTAAACCTAAACTTTATGGCTGAAACCCATAAAGCTGTTTGTCGGTTTGTGTTACAGATGTTGAGTCTGTCGTCTTCATCCTTTAGATGTCGTCCAGTCAGCTGCTGATGTTGAATTATTTTTGTAAATGTTTCTGTTTTTTTCTGATGTTTTCTGATTCTAAATCAGCAACAAGGTCATTTTTACTTCTCACAGGGAGAGAGAGAGAGCTGTTACTTTATCTACAGAATCTCACTGGTTTTCTATCACCTCCCTTCTCTTCTGATCCTCAATCTCATGTCTCGTCTGATCCTGGATCTGCTTCACCCCTCTGCGCACACACACTCAAACACACACTCCTCCTGCGGCTTTAAATCCTGACCGACTGACCAAACTGTGAGTGTTTGTGTGTGAATGTGACGCCGTCGAGCCGTCCGTCAGTCGCCACCGTTGTTTGTTGGCCTTTTGACTGAATATGGATCTTTGCCCTCTGACCTCTGTGAAGTTGATCTAATTGTCGTTCTGTTTAAAGACCATAATGGTGATGTGTGTTTTAGCCCATTAACTACAAGCACCAAACACCTGCCAATGTTTTTACATGGTTTCCTTTAAGAAACCTCTGATTTCCAAGACTTCAATTTACAAAATATGCAGTTAAAAAATCAATTATAATATTTGACTGTTTCTTGCATTCAAATTTCAGCCGTTTAGCAGCTGGGTGCTGATTACCAAAACATTTTCTAAATTCCCAAAATGCATCAACCAAGAAGAGTTTCCAATCTGTTTCTCACAACTGCTGTACCGAACAAACTTTAAGGGTCAGTTCACAAAATAGATTATATATTCTCTCTGACCTATTGTGGTATCCAACTGTGCAGATGGTTTTGGGGTATTTTTTTTGTCCAGGTTTTGAGATATCTTTCTCTGAGGTTTCTGCCTTCGCACTAATACGATGGAAAGATGTTGCATTTGTACTGGACAAAAAAAAAGAAACTATCTGCATCAACTTTCTCAAGCTAAGTTGGAAAATGTGTTGCTTTAAAAACATATGAAATGCTCTGGAACATGAGCAGCAATAATGTAGCTACTGGGCAAAATCATGCAGACCACCTTTGTTATCTGCAGTGTGTGTTATTGCATGTCTGTAGGCGCTGTAATGGCAGATGTTATGCTGGGTGGGCAAAGAACCGGTTCATCCCTGTCCCTCGTGACAGCTGACAACAAAGAAAGTGCTCTGTAATTAATCCTTCTTTTAATGTGAAAGGGTATTGACAATCTATCGGTAAAAGATCAATTTCTTTCTCCACTGCTTCCAGCAATTAGCCTGGATCCCTCAGAGTCTTCAGGGGGTTTTAACCATGAGGTGAACTGGAGAACCCACCAAGCTAGTCCCCGCTGAGCTGGATGTGTTTTGTCATTTTAACGAGGTCACACATCTCAGTCAGCCGTTTGTTACCAGTAAAAGTGACACCGTTGTTTTCTCATCTGTGGCTTATTGTGTTCATGTCCTCTGGGAAATCTTGTTCTGGTTTCTGAACAGGACGTCTGACTCCAACAAGCATGAAATCACCGAAAACATCTGAGAGAAAGTGACGTTTTTATCGTGGAAGTGATTCCCTAGACTCTCGCTGTGTTGATGTTTGTCATAATGAGTTATGTGTTCCTCGATGTGTCGTCAGCATTGTGACTGTGACTCACCCGCAATGTGTCCGTATGCATCGATGGCTTAAGAATGAATGTTCAGAGGATACCTGATGGCTGTTTAATGACTTGCTGGATTGTAGTGATTGTGTCTTGGGTTTTGGTGACAACTAACCTGGAATATGCCACTCTCCTATTTACCGGTACCGATACTTCCTCTGTCTGTATGACATGTCCAATGTGTGCTATAGGCGTCAATTGACAAGTGTCACATGGTAACTCACCCTGTGGTTGTTGCACTTGTCTTACATTACGATTCTGCTAAAGACGGGGTTGCCAAGTCTCAAACGTTTGGCATGAGACGTTTGCACAGCCATTTCTTGATAAAGAGTTTACTGTTATGCTAGTGGCTCTGCGAGACTGTCCTTTGGCACAGTGGTACTTTGTGCTGAATATGCTGATGTATAGCAGGTATAATGTCAGCATTCGCTAATTAGAACTTAACAGAAAGTACAGCTGAGGCCGATGGAAATGTCATTAGTTTTACAGATATTTAGTCATAAACCAAGGTATGTGACAAATTAAAATTGTGCTAGATGAATAGCCAGAGGATCACCAAAGTCATGAGGATATATCCTGAGGGGAACATGCATGTCTGTACCGAATGTCATGGCAATCAATCCAATAGCTCTCAAGTCATTTCACTCAAACCCACAAATGTGCACCTCATAGTGGCGCTAGGAGAAAAGTCAGGATTCACCAAAGTCTTCAGTAAACATCCTCTGGGGACAATGAGTGTCTCTACCAGAATTTGTCACAATAACGTTTTGTAGATTATGAAATATTTAACTGGATATTTACAATATAAAAAAAGATGAAAAGTCAGGGGATCAACAAAGTCATTAGGGTTCAACCTCTGGTCACCATAACATTCTGAACCAAATTTCATGGCAATCCATTTGATAATTGTTGAAATATTTCAGTCTGGATCAACGTGTTGAACCAGCCGACTGATCTGCAGACTGACATCTCTCGAGCCAAGCTGCTAGAATAAAATGCTAAAAAATACAACGTTGAATGCGATTAGGAGTCATTCAGACAGCTTGGTAATGTCACCAACTCGAGTCACAAAGAGTCTGATTAGCTCAGTGACTGTGTCTGTTTGCTGGTCCTGTGATGGAACAAGTGATGTGATTGCTGTGATTTTGTCCGCTGCTGGATGTGTTGAAGTAACACAGGATATGATTGGAGGTCAGATAACCAAATATCTGCCTCTGATCTTATCTTATTTGATTCAAGATAAATCAACAAAGAAACCTTTCAGTAGACTTTCTAAAAGCAGATTGATGTTCATTATTCCAAATTCTGCCATATTTTGACAAAATAAACCACCAGTCGTGGCATTTCAGTACAGCATTCTGTGTTACAGATGTTCAACACATCTGGTTTATGAGTGTAATTATGTTACGGAGGGATAATTTTGGTGAATATTTTTTGCTCTGTGCCTTTTTCGATGTTGTTGTGCCATTCTGTCCCTCTAGGGGACGATGACGATGACGATGAAGCAAGCACAGAGCGCAACATGGCCGCCGTGTCGCCCATTCCTAAAATAGTCACCCCGTCCATCAAAGAGGACTTGTGCAGGGAGGATGAGGAGGAGGACTGCACAGACGAGTGGGGTAAGCGTGAAAGTGAAATCAATGTTGAAATAAAGTCACTGAGATGCTGCTGAAACAAAGGTTCGATGCATCCTTCAACTAAATGTCCTGTTAAGGTAGATGTTTACACATCTTTTCATCTGCAAATCAAATCAACTTATGGCTGTGTTAAGACAAAATATAGGAATTCAATTGATGTTCTGCTTTTTTTTTGTCCACCAGATTCGGTGCCAAAACAGGAGCAGAAACCGTCGGCGCAGGAGTCGACACCCACCAAGCCCGTGCAGAGCGTCGCCCCGCAGGCCCGCGACTCCTCCGGCTTCTCTGTGTGGGAGTCCGGGACGGACAGCCTTGTCAACCTGTGGGACAGCAACTCCGACCTTCCCCCCAACCACTCCCAGACCTCCCAGTCCTCCAATCTGGTGGACCTGATGGGTGACGTTGGTGTTCCACCCGGCACTAGCGGCAAGCCTCAGCCCCTCCTCAGCTTCGACGAGATGATGGACGGGACCTACTGCTCGGCCACCGGCGCCGAGGACGACCCCGCCAGTCTTGTGGACGTGATGGGCTCCGACCAGATGACCCTCAGCTACCAGCATGCACTGCAGCATGCATCCGGGGAAAAGAAGGAGCTGGTCGATGGACAGCGGCTGATGACCAATGGGGAGACGCTGCTGAAAGAAGGGACTCAGGTCAGAAAGTTTATTAATCATCATGCCGCGCTTTTGAAAAGATGTTTTCTGTCTTTTTCTCTGTTAATGGTTTTATTTCTCCTTCTATTTGTCCGACGCTTCTTATAGGCGAGTGAGGGCTACTTCAGCCAATCACAGGAGGAAGAATTTGGCCAATCAGAAGAGTCCTCGGCCAAACCTGCGCCTGTCTTTTATAACAAGCCACCAGGTGAGATACTTGTCTGATGATGAAATTACTTTAAATTCTTAAATATTATAAAGTAATAATCAACCCCAGGGTTGGCTAAATATAAGCAACACCTCTGTATAATGCAATCACGCCACATCAGCACTATCATACCAGAAAATAATCAGTAAAATATGTTTTTGTGTGTTCAGAGATTGACATTACGTGCTGGGACACGGACCCCGTGGTCGACGATGATGATGACTAACCAGCCAATCAGACACCACCACAGGACCAAGAGGAAGTAGGAAGTGCGCTTCATGAAGAAACTGTTTTTTTTTCTTTTTCTAAAAAACAAAACACAAACAAACAAAAAAAAAGTAACAATAATAACGAATCTTGCATCAAAATTACTTCTGTATTATCTTTTAGAGGAAAACAAAACAGTAGCCAACAGAAGAAGAAGAAAGACGGGGTTTGAGTTATCTTTAAAGATGGTTTGAAGGCTCAGTTATGGGCTTTTTTCTGTGTTTGTTATTTTATTTATTTGTTTTTTTTTCTTTTTTCTTTGCTATGCAGATGTAATAGCTGGGAATGGGGAGGGGGGGGACTTTTATTTTGTGTACATGATTTATTACACGTTAACGTAGCGCACTGCTGCATATTAGAGACAATGGAGCCCAGTGTGTGACAGGCAGCCGACACACACCTAGTCTGTAGAGCTTTAATAACACCCTATAAAACTAATACAGTGGATCATTACAGCTGCCATGTATATCTTCACTCTCTGATTCTTTTCTTACCTCTTTTTCACCTCCCTCCTCCCTGCTGCCTTCCTCCAAAAATATCCAGAAATATTCACCCCTGCAAGTCAGTTAATCTTGTATTTAGCCCTCACTTTAATCAGAAACAGGTGAAACATGTTATTTATTGTGGTGTATCTGAACAGCTGATGTAACCCTGAAGAAATCTATTCAGTCAAATCGTGGCTCCGTTTTTCTTTCTTTTTTTTGCTCCTTTTGTATGATTTTAAGACTGAATTCAAGATTAAATGGCTTGTAAATCTGGTTGCTTTTTTTTCGGTGCACTTTTATTTCCGTTTCTGCCTCCTCGTAGGTCAACTGCAGCTTCTCAATCAAACCTTCCCCTCTGGTTCTATAAAAATCATCCTTTTTATCCCACTTATATATTTACACAGCAAAAGAAAAAAGCTCTTCATCTAATCTAGATGAATATAATGTAGATATTTTTCCAGTTTTGTAGGAGAGTTTGGCTTTAAGATAATGAACACATTCAGCTTGTGCACAGCAGGAAAACAAAAAAGCAATGAATCCTTTGTATGATTCTTCTGAACTTTCTCCAAAAGATAAAAATAGGACTTTTTCACCAGGCCCTTCATGATGTGGGCATTTTTGGACCGCAGTGAGCACAGCTCCTGTTCAGAGTTGAGGAGGTTTGGGAGGCAGGACGCCTGCCTTTTTCCTAATTTTTCAAAAGAACAATGTTTTAATGTTATTTTCTGGCGGTTAGGCCTTATTGTTCCACTCAGACTGAGGCTGAGTTCGATGCTGGATGACAGAGGGAGGGTGGGATGAAACAGCTGGAAGCAAACTTGGGCCACACGGTGTTTGCAAATATTATTTTCATGACTTTGTTTTAATCTGCATGGAGAACCAGATGTTCATGATTGATCACAGCGCTACTGTCCTGATTTGATCGTGTCAAGTAAGCTGTCAAATCGAGTCAATCGTATTTATAGATAACAGTTTATCTATGGAAATCTACATATGCGAGTAATGTATGACGATATAAAAGTGAGTCCTTCCCTGGGACTACATTTAACATAACTCCGCCTCTTCTGCTTCCACTCTTAAGTTCCTCAATTTTATAGAAAGTGCAATAATCACCTGAACACCCCCTTTTAAGGCCTCGGTAAAGTTAGAAGGAATGCCACCATCAAAGGGTGACTTTATCATTTTTGTAGCACCTAAACAGGATGAAGTCATCTGTGAAAGTATTTCTGCAGAGATCCAGAGGGCACAGGGGACCGAGCTGATGAGCAGAAACTCAAGTAGAAGAAGAGTAGCCTGTGAAAAAAATAGATAAAAGTTGCTCGGCCAACATATCAGCATTGTAATCGTGCAACAATAATTGAAGATTTTAAAACGTCGGTCAATCCAAGCAGCGTCAAACAAAAGCTGAATTTCTCAATCCCTCTCTGACCCACGTCTGCTGCCTGACTGCTTTTGTTCTGTGCCATGCAAAAAAAAAAAAAAGTACCATATGTATTTTATTTTTTATTGATGCAATATTTAGTTGCCCTGAAAACTGGAGTGTGAGGTGGGGCGGGCTGTGACGGGAGGAGGTGTGTGTGTTTTTATTACCTGTCAAAGTGTGCTAGAATTGATTTTCAGGACCTTTTTGAATATTAGCAACAACATTGTTAGTTTTTTGTTTTTTTTTGCTGTAAATTCCTGTAGAAAATAAAAACTCCTAGGCAATAATAACACGTGTATGTGTGTGTAGAGCACCTGGATACTTTGTGTGTGTGTGTGTGTTCATTAGACAGGAATCTGCAGATTATTTAAGATGCTTTTGGGGACCTGGTTTGATTTATACCTCTGCATCCTAAATGATCAGGTGACAGAAGAACGTGCTCGCATCCAACATCCGCCTCATTTTATTAAATCCTGTAAAATTAGTGAATAAATACGCAACTCTTGAATTCATTTTTGTACCATCATTCATATCTGTGTTGCCAGGTAAGCATTCATTTCGTTGTTTGCAGATTAAAAGAAATCTAGAAATAGTAAAAAACAGTTTGCACTCTATATAAATAAAGACAATAGGCAGGAATAAACATAATTGTAATACATAATGGAATATCCAAGAAATACAGAGACAACAGCTAATCACAATAATATAATAAAAATATTATTAAAAAAAGAAATAATGACAAATCATATCACTGAGGATGATGCAGTCCCATACATTGTTATAAATGAACTAATTAAGGAATATCTTTTCCCCAGATTTAACCTAGACTTCTAGATGGAATCCATGAATGTGGAGAGAGAGAGAAAAGGTCAAATAATAAAAAGGAAGCATGGAAACAGCTTGAGCTCCTGGTAAGTTTTGGTATTGATGATTGTGAGAGTTGCATCTGTGTACCAATTAAAGAAGGAAAGTCAGCTGAGCAAAGGACCCCGAAACATGTCTGATTAGAGAGATTGTTGTTCAGGTGTTTTCAGGGTCTCACAGTTTCTAGCACTGTGTAAAACGTGCACAGCAAAAAAAAGGTAAATATGCTCCAAAACACGTGGAACAATAATTTTTGTAATAATTGCTGTGCTTCATATTCACTTCAATGCAATTAGACTTCCTTTTTATAGTGGAGGAACTTGAGTTTATGCCACTTCTGTCGTAGTTTGCACTGTTAGAGCCGTTAGCTATGAGCTGCCAGCGCCCTGTCGACATGTTGAGAGCTGTTGAGAGGCAATCAAAATGCTCACACTCTGGGATCTTTTAAGAGATTTAATTGACGTATAAGCCCGACGGACCTGGTGCCGGGTCGACGCCTGTGGCATAGTTACAAAAAGTTGCGATCAAAGACGGTCTATTTATGGAAGATATGCATATTGTATGCATGTATAAAAACATGGATTATTCAGCTTTCAGAATCAGTAACCAACTGTTTGTTGTCCAAATTTTGTCTTATTAACAAAGTATTTTAACAATACTTTTGTACAAATATACCCTTGGTAAATATACAATGAGTTGGATTCAAAAGATCCAGGATCATTTCCTCGTCAGTCTACAGTAGCTATGATTGGGATCCCTGGACACAAGAAATTCAGAGCTTTCCAAAACATCTAAATGCACCTTGACTCGAAAGACACAGCGATAGGGAAACAAAGCAATCGAACCTCACATTTTAAAGTCAAGCTGGTTCAAATCTATCTTCTTGACAAAACATTTCTTCGAGGCATATGTTATATTCGCCAAAAATAGCAGATTTGTGTTACATGCAGTGCTACAGTAAAGTAGGGGCTGCTGGGAAGTGATATTGGGCCTTAGGGAGAAGAAGTAAGCAGCCATCTAAGTCGAGTATGACTGCCTTGTACTGGTGTGAGCTCTGGATGTTCGTGGCCACCTGGTCGCTATATTGACTCAATTACACCAAAAAGCCTTATATCATTAGTTTCAGCTTGCTTAGACAAATCTGATTGTGGACCCCAGCATTATCCAATTATCTGCCTGTATAGCATGGAGCGCTTCAGTCATCTGAATATTAATCAATCCTATTTGTGTTTTATTACAATTTCAATGTGTTTTGGGAGAATTGTGTTGTTTGTAACATAGCGATATGGAAATAAATAATATTTTGAAGTGAAACTCCCTCTTAACAGTCAATATGTAAACATAGCCAAAACATGGAGGCCGCCTTCAATCTTATAATGGTAATATTGCCTTTGAAATTTAGATTACGTACTAGGCGGCGATGCAAATCTTATTTTCCTTTATTGCTTTAGGTGAATTTTGGGATAAGGCTTAACAGGTTAAGGATTTTGTCCAAAGAAAAAGGGCAGCATAAGATGTCAGCAAATGCCCCAAAAACAGCACATTTTTACATTCAAGTGACAAAACCCTCTACCGGTCGTAGGAATTATGACTCTTGTCAATCCGGAACAAAAGGAGGAAGTCAGGTGGCGTTGTAATAGAGCCAAAAAGGAGGTCAAGGTTAATGGATGGAAGAGCAAAACAACTGCTCTTCATTTCACGTTCCCAACCAACAATCAACATTGGTTTCTTTTAACCACGACCACGAACAGTCCCCAACATTAACCACATGGTTATTATTGTAAGCATGAAGATTAGGGTCTTCGTTTCCTAATCATGATGCTTGTGTGTCTAATTCTGACCAAACCTTACCCATAGCTGTCCAGGATGAGAAAAGGGTTTATTTCTGCAGCTGAGGTTTGTAACCATTGTCTTGTCGAGGAGGGCTTCAGATGAGAACATACTCGAGTGTGTCGTTCTGAAGGGCAGATATGAATGATGCATTTAGTCGTTTCATTTGGAGGACTTGTTTGGAAACATCACGACTCCAAGAAGAAATCTGGCTGCACAGTCGGAACAAATTTCTAGTTGAGATCCAAAACATGTTCTCATTAAAGTGTGTACAGAATGTAAAGCCCTCTGAGGCTAAAATAAATAAATTGAATTGAATTAAAGGCATCGTTACTCAAAGAAAGAATGAGCTCATTTAAAGTTACACATGCTCACTGATTGGATCAGAGGTATAAGTCATGCACAGCAGCCCTTCCTACATTACATTAAAAATACGTTAAAAGTGAAATGATCTGAACAGTTCTTGTAGTTGACATGTCTACCACTAGATGGCCCCGTTGTATTTCCTCTCCACTGCTGGACTACCTCTGAGCTGTAGCTCTCTGAGAGGACCTTTGTCCGTTTCCTGTTCTCCTCTTCTGCTGTTTCATCCCGATCTCAATAGACAAATAACAGTTTACTCATAATCTGTAATCTCTGCGGCACTTTTCCCTTCTGTTGATGTTTGGAATACATTTGCAATTCTACATTTGCAATTCTCCCAAACATGACTTCAGACAGACTGGTTTTTTTCTGTCTTACCTGCCAGGAAGGTCAAAAATCCAATCAGACAGAGGGAAAAGATAACTATTTCAATAGGATATGTTCCTTAAGCACATAGCTGCAGCACTCATGTCTCCCAGTTTTGCATGACAACGGTCGTCTTTAAATAACTCCAGTTAGACAAACTCTCCCTCTGTTCACCATGACAACGACCGTTAGGTCTATTAAATCGGATCTTTTCTATTTGTCATTCACCATCATGGCATGATTACCAGGTTCAGCTGCAGCCCTTCAGTTCAGCTTTAAGGTCCCACATTATTCCCACTTCATGATTTTGAAACCTACCAGAATGGATTTCTTAAATTGAATGATTTTACACATTATAGCGTCTTAACCCTTACATCATCTCGTTTTAAGATCCTTTTTATGATATGAGATGGTTTTATTATGACGTATGACGTGTTATTGCGTGCTAAATTACTCTGGGTTAACAAGAAATGTTAGTCTTGCATGTTGTGTTATATTCACAAACAAAAAAATATGTATTTGTATCATATTCACTACCCATGAAGTCCTGAAAGACGTTGTTTTATTCCAAATAAATCCTCTTTGGGGACTTGATGAAAGTAAACCTGCTGATTGGAGGTTTTCCAGGTCAGAAGCTCTAAACTGGGCAGACTGGAGGCAATAAGGAACCAGTAGGCCTTCCTCACAGCAGACACTTTGACTCATCATAGCAGGAAAAGCACATGTGTTACTAATAACACTAACGATGTCTCCGCTCTAATTAAGTGTTCAAGTGAGTGTGACAGTGAACCTGCATGTACAACACAACCCTGGATTCAAAGCAGCTAGATTGAAACCAGCCAACATTACTTTGATTATTTACACCTGTGCTCTTTTCCCCCTGTGACGAGTCACTAAATGTCGTCTGTGACAAAGGCCTGCAATGACTGCAGTTTATCTAAAAACACCTGTACTGATTTAACACATTTGATCAGGTATTAGCACTTGATTTCAACATCTCTCCTCGCGTCTCTGCTTTGAGCAATGAAGGTGAAAATCAGTGCAGTATTTTCATGTAAAATAGCTTTGACTTGTTTTATTCATCCTTATACTGAGCTA